CGACGTGATGCAGAGAAAGCGCCATGCACTCCCAAGTTATTCAGCTTGACCCCACGCCGGGACCGGTCGCGACCGGGCCGCCCCGGGTGTCCCACGTGTCACCGCCCCCACACACGGTTCTTCTTCTTCTTCTTCTTCTTCTTCTTCTTCTTCTTCTTCTTCTTCTTCTTCTTCTTCTTCTTCTTCTTCTTCTTCTTCTTCTTCTTCTTCTTCTTCTTCTTCTGTTGTTGTTGTTGTTGTATTTGTTGTTGTTGTTGTTGTTGTTGTTGTTGTTGTTGTTGTTGTTGTTGTTGGTTGTTGCTGCTGCTGCTGCTGCTGCTGCTGTTGCTGCTTCTTCCCGCCGTCGCGAACTATAAAACGCGTTGTAGAGAAGGGACTTCAACTCAATCTTAAACAGATTTTGTCGAACATTTGTCGAAAGTTGTTTTCCTGCTGCAACTCCAGAACGTCTGCAAAACTAACAACGGCGAAAATGACTCGTCTCGTGGTCGGCGACTCGTCGGCGACTCGTGGCAGACTTTCGGAAAGTCCCCTGGCGGTCGGCTCGCGCCGAGACTCGCTTTTCTCCTCGTTTGATCACAGACGATTGAGTGACGCGGGAAGGCAGAACCGTCAAAGGGGCCCGACGGCACGCGGCCGGAGGACTGGCTCGCTCCGTCTCTCTCGCACCGATGGGGCGTCCCGTCAGGGTGCGAGAGAGACAGAGAGCGCGCCGTTCGGGGGCAGCCTGCCGGGCAGTGCCTCGGCGACGACGGACTGAATGGGGGTAAAAGCGGCGGGCCTAGCCCGGCTCTGGCCCGGCCCAGCCTCCCTGTAACGGTCCAGCGGGCCGCTCTGTGTGTCCGCGCCGGCCGCGCCGGCCACGCCAGAGGACGCGCTAAACACGCCGCTAACGACGACACTGTCAGCAAGTCCCTCTCTCTCTTTCTCTCTCTCTCTCTCTCTCTCTCTCTCTCTCTCTCTCTCTCTCTCTCTCTCTCTCTCTCTCTCTCTCTCTCGCACCCCGTGGGCGAGAGAGACAGAGCGACGGGACCGCTCACTCGGAATGGGACAAACACTGTGCGCGCGCAGGGAGTGCCAAGTTGACCGAAATTCGAACTTGACGTGTGCGCGCACACAAGGGGGAACAACGTTGACTTTTCGTGCGCTGCGCAGCGCTGCGTTGCCGTGGTGTGTTCACGCACCCGGTGCTCAGTGGCCACACCTTTCATTTTTGCAGAAACGTGTAAGATTTGTTGAAAATTTTCAATTACTTTTTTTAAGATTTTGATATTTTGTGGGGGGGCTATTTTCTGGGAACCAACTAAGCGCCTAACCAAAATCCCATAACATGCCAAATTTTTTCGTCAAGTTGGCGCTCCTTCGCGCCCCAGCGGTGTGGGCTGCGGACCCTCCGCGCGGCCGGCGAGAGTCGGAGTGAGTACATCCGGAGGTCGTTGAGTAATTAGAGTGCGGTGCAGGCCCGGCGGGGCCTGGCGGGGCCTGCGGGGCGGACCCTGACCTCCGACTCGCCGCGCCCGTCCGATTAGTATCACCGGTGCACTCCACCCTGGGGGCGTCATCGCCGCTGTCTCTCTCGCACCCCTGGAGCGCCCTGTGCGCGCGAGAGAGACAGACCGACGAAATACCGTGCGGTTCGGACCGATCGACAACCCATGCACCCCGTCCGCCGCGGCCGCCCGAAGTCAGTGACGGCGAGCTTGGCCACGCCGGGGCGCTGCCGCTGCTGCCGTGCTCGCGGCGCCTGCCAGCGGCGGCCTACATCTCGGCGTGCTAATCGCCCCGATGAACTCCTTCCTCTCCTCAGCGACCGTCTCGGCGCCGTCTCGGCGCCGTCTCGTCTCGGCACCGCCTCGGTTGTGGCGGCGGCCGCAGTAATCCACTTTCTGGGACCCAACTTCATTGGCGGCAGCACGTTTTCACTTGGACGACATCCTCCCCCGCGCGTTTGTTGTTGTTGTTTTCGTCGTCGTCGTCGTCGTCGTCGGCGTCGTCCTCGTCGTCCTCCCCGTCGTCGTCCTCCTTGTCGTCGTCCTCCTCCTCCTCGTCGTCCTCCTCCTCCTCGTCGTTCTCCTCCTCCTCGTCGTCGTCCTCGTCGTCGTCGTCGTCCTCCTCTTCGTCGTTCTCCTCGTCGTCCTCGTCGTCGTCGTCCTCGTCTTAGTTGTTGTTGTTGTTGTTGTTGTCTGTTGTTGTTGTTGTCTGTTGTTGTTGTTGTTGTTGTTGTTGTTGTTGTTGCTGCGGCGAGGACGCGCGCAGTGTCGCGACCTTTCACGCGTGCCTCTGCTCGCTCGTGCCGCGCCCTGGCGGTGCCTGACGGTGCCTGGCGGTCCGAACGCGCGCCGGAGACCTTTTCAAAATGCGCCGAATTAGCAGTGGGGTGACCCTGGGCGCCCGATCGCCGATTGCGGCTCACACACGCAATCTAGGATCGGTGGCGGCGCGGCGGCGCACGGCGCATCCTTGGCAGATCCGTACAGATTGTTTGTACACAGTAAAAAAAACAAAAGTCACGAGACGGAATAAAACTTGAGCAAGTGACTTTGTCAGTGGAGTGTGCTGAATAAACTGCCACGTGTTCTCGACGAGGACTCTGCGGACGGCCCTTTGGTTCATCGTGCTTAATTGCGCACTGGGTCATTAAGCATTATTTTAATTCGTCGCCCGTGTCGATCTCGTTTGGTGGCAGCTACCCGTCCACTTTTGGTCAGCTCGCGGTCAGCTCGCGGTCAGCTCCGCGGTCCGTTCTCGGTCCGCAGCTGCTGCGGGCAGCGCGGCTCTGGCTTGCGGTACCGTACCCCGCGCTTTGCCGCTCCGTCCCTCTCGCGCCCCTCCGGCGCGCCCCGCGAGTGCGAGGTAGACGGAGCGTCGCTTGCAGTAGCCGGCCGGCGCACAGTGGGCCAGAAGACTGGTAGAGGCGGCCAAAACTCTCGACGCGTTTTGAGCTCCAGAGTCGCTAAACAAGCCTCGAACCGAGCGTGTGGACCCCACCAATGGATTCCTCGTTCGGAGAGCAATCCATTGGTGGGGTCACACCAAGGGGGTAACGACTGGTAAATTTCGTGTCAGCCGGATTACGGATTACCCCGGATTACCCCGGATTATCCCCAAATTACCTCCGGATTACAACCAAAATATTCCCGGATTACCCCGGATTACCCCGGATTACCTCCCAATTGGCTGTCAGCCGGATTCCCGAAGTCGTTACCCCCTCGGGTCACACGTTCGATTCGAGGCCTGTTTAGCGACTCTGGAGCTCAAAACGCGTCTAGAGTTAGGCCGCCTCCACCGGTCTTCTGGTCCACTGTGCGGCGCGAGCGTCTAGCGGCGGGCTCGCGGCTCGCGGTTGGCGTGGCTCGGCGGGTAGTGGTGGTGGTACCGGCGGCTGCCTCTCGGCTACCTCTCCCGGCCGCTGGCCGCCTGGTCGGCCTCCGCCTACTTACGCCCCCTCCTCCACTGAGCCTCCACCGGCCGGCCGCGGCGCCACTGATAAAAACAATAACGCGAATAAGAGCGGCCGGCAAAAAATGAAACGGCGGCGGCGGCGTTACAGAAATAGTAAATTGGTTATCGGCGGCCCCGCTGCGCCAGGCAGCCAGGCAGCGCTGCGGTCGCCTCGCCGGGCGGCGGGCCGTGACGGACCGACTGAAGGGCCGAAGGGCCCGGCCCGGCGGTTTGCCTTTCTTGATACAACTTATTTTATTTCCGCGATGGCCCGCCCCGCCCTACCCCGCCCCGCCCTGCCCCGCCGGACTCTCTGTTGTGGTCAACGGCCGCCCGGAGAAAGCCAACAAACCGGACCAAAATTTTTCTTTTTTGGTGTAGTCATTTTTCTTGTTGTATGTGTATTTTTTGTAAGTTTTGTGACGGTGTGTGTCTGCATTTTCGGCCGCGCCGAGGTTGTGACTCCCCGGTCAAAGTGATCGCTTTGGCTATGCAGTGTAGCGCCGCCCCCGGCTTGCCCCCGGCTGGTGTATCGCGACACGTCCAGCGTTGTTCGGGCCGCTATCTCCATCGGGGTGATATCGGGCCGACGACATGGAGAGCACGATCTCCGGCATTGTGTCGCGCGCAGCTGTGGACTCGCTCCGAAATTCGTCGCTATCTCTCTCGCACTCGCGTGGCGCCCCGTCAGCGTGCGAGAGAGACGGTTCGGAATCAATGCACTGGTCAGCGCTATCGAGTGAGCCGGCGCCGCGAGCAGAGCAGAGCGATCCCGAAGATCGCAGTCGTCGCTCGGTCTCTCTCGCACTCGTGGGGCGCACAGTGGGCCAGAAGACCGGTGGAGGCGGCCAAAACTCTAGACGCGTTTTGAGCTCCAGAGTCGCTAAACAGGACTCGGACCGAACGTGTGACCCCACCAATGGAATCCTCGTTCGGAGAGCAATCCATTGGTGGGGTCACACGTTCGATTCGAGTCCCATTTAGCGACTCTGGAGCTCGAAACGCGTCGAGAGTTTTGGCCACCTCCACCGGTCTTCTGGCCCACTGTGGGGCGCCCCGTCGCCCCGTAGGGGTGCGAGGGGGACGGAGCGACGAAGCGGCGCAAGGCTGGCGCACTGGCGCCGCCTTTCGAGTTATTGTTCTTGGTACCGCAATGCAGGCGTTACAGCGGCCAAGGCGCGGCGCCGGGAGACATTGCGAGACACGGCCAAATTACCAACGGGACCGTAGGGACCGGCGTGGCCGCGGCGACGCGGCGTGGCGAGGCAGGGACCATGGACGCTGGAGTCCGGGGTCTGGACAGCGACGGGCCGGCGGCCAGCGACGGCGACACCTCTGGTCCTCTCCACCGAACAGTTTTGTCGCTCTGTCTCTCTCGCACCCCTACGGAACGCCGCACGAACTGAGCAGTGGGAGAGAGGAAGAGGGACGCAAGAACTGCCACCGTTCTCGATTTTCAACTGTATTTCTTTACAGGCACTGAGATGAGCTTTCAGGCACTCCATGTGCTCCAAGATCGATTGACGATCACTAATCGAAATCTGTCTCCCTCTCTCCAGTGGCAGGGTCGGGCAACGCCTGCCGCTTCCCCGGCGCCCCCGCGCACTGCACGGTGCGCTTCTCCAACGAGAGCCTCGCCGACGGCGCCGTGGCCACCTACTCCTGCGAGAGGGGCTTCGAGCTGCTGGGGCCCTCCAGGAGGGTCTGCCACAACGGGGCCTGGACGCCGGAGGGGGTGCCCTTCTGTGGTGAGTAGCGACGACAACGTTTTTCTCGGGCTGTTTTTGGATCGACCTGCCTCTGTGTCGCGCGCGTCTTTACAGAAGAGGAACACACAGACTCACGCACACACTCGCACGCGCGCGCGCGCACACACACACACACACATACACACACACACACACACACACACACACACACACTAGGTTCGCGGAACGACTCGCGGATGCATTTTTTTTCGCGGTACCCTAATTAGCTGCTGCCCATCACCTGGACGCACGCCGCGCGCCTCCTCACGACGCGTGCCCCCCCTTCCCCCTCTCCCCTCCTCCTCCTCCTCCTCCTTCTTGTTCCTCACTAGTCACAGACGAGCGCTCGAAGCGAGTAGTCGGTCAGTAAATGCAGGTCCCGTTGCACAACCTGCTGCGACCACTGAGTGTGGGGCGTGGCGGGGCGTGGCGGGGCGGGGCGGGGCGGGGCGAGGTGGGGCGGGCCGTATGGAACGTGAAGACATAGGATATCCAGGGCTCCGTATGTAGTGCACGGCCTGGGCCGCGGCCGAGGGCCAAGGCTAGGGCCTGGCCGGCTTGTGTCTCTCTCTCTCTTTCTCTGTCTTGCCTCGCTGTCTTGCTCTCCGTCTTACTCCCGGGCTTCGTCTCCGGAAACGCTCCAGTGCCGTTACCCGCGGGAAATGGAGGAAAACGACCGTTTTTGGCATTTTTGGCACCTTTGGCGGAGATGAAGCGTGAGCAGTGCAGCATGGAGCCTAGCACAGCCCGGTGGCTGTGCGGGTGTGAGAGAGACGGAGAGAGGCAGACTCTTCCCCTCTCCGTCGCACTCAAGGGGACGACGGGCCCCAAAGTGGGCTGCATCGCTGCTTGCCTGCTGGAGTCGTTGGCGCGCCGAGGGATCATGATGACGGGAGCGACGTGTCGCCACACTGTGGGCCCATTCCGAACAGCGCTCCCTCTCTCTCGCACCCTTGCGGTTCGCCCACGAGAGAGAGAGAGAGAGAGAGAGAGAGAGAGAGAGAGAGAGAGAGAGAGAGAGAGAGAGAGAGAGAGAGAGAGAGAGAGAGAGAGAGAGAGAGAGAGAGAGAAGGCCTGCCGTGCCAAGGCGGGGGCGGCGGGTAGCAAACGCACTGCAGCGCCATCGACTTGTGCTAAGTGCAGTCTGGGTTTAGACACCACCGCCGCGCTGCATCGTACTGCATCGTACTGCATCGCGCTGCTGCTGGGGGCTCATTTTCACATTAGTGTGTCGGTGGTGAAAGGCCGGAGGGCGGTTCATTCGACAAGTCGCACTCAGCTCCCGAAAATTAGCACGATGTTCATGAGAATTAAAAAAAGACTGTTCATCACTGGTAAATCAAAGGCATAAAAATTACGCCCTTTAGGGCACAAACTCTTTTACGCCCTTCCCAAGGGCACAAACTCTTTTACGCCCTTCCCAAGGGCATAAATCGTTTTATGCCCTTGGGAAGGGCGTAAATGCTATAGAAATTTCAAGCAAAATTTTAATGCCCTTCCCAAAGGCATTAACGATTTATGCCCTTAAAGGGCATAATTTTAATGCCATTGTTTCACCAGTGGCACCTTAAAATCAAAACAGTTTTTTTTTAAATGCTAAGGTTTTTTTCTTTCAAATAAATTACATAAGAAACGAATGATGGACAGGTGCAGGCGGCCAGGTGCGCGTTGGGATATTGAAGAGAGGATCACTTTCTAAAGGCCGGCCTGTGACACGGCGTCGTCGCGCCGGGCCAACTTCGGCGTGGACCAGTGCGGGCCGAAGGCGGACCCGAAGGCGGACCCGAAGGCGGACCCGAAGGCGGACCCGAAGGCGGACCCGAAGGCGACCCGAAGGCGGACCCGAAGCGCGGCCAGTGCCCCGCGAGGTGAAAGGATAATCCGGCCGATTGGCGACGGATTCCGGTCGACCCGGTCCAGCGAAGTCCTTCAACCTGCCCGGGCCGCCGAGCCGAGCCTGCCGGCGACGCCGCGCGGCACGCGCGCCGGGGAGCCCAAGCCATGGAAAACTGTTTTTAGTTATGTTTTCCTGTTCTGAAAAAAAAACAACTTTTTTTTACAACACTTTGACCAACTTTTGAACAGGACTGCTCCTAAACCAAGGCGGGAAATCGCACTCCGTAGAAAAGGCATGCTCTAAAGCATCATAGAAGACGGTCACTGACTGGACACCGGGTGTCAGTCTTTTGGTAATCCGTGCACATCGGGCGACATTGGGTTCATAGCAGTGGCGTGGCAGTTTTGGCCGACCGTTTTGGCGGGTTGCTTTCCTTTCCTTTCTTTCCCTTCCCGCATTCCTCCGTTCCCACGCGTCGCTTTTGGCCGTGCATGCGCTTTTAAGCCGCAATGTGTCCCAACAGGTTGGGCAAGGCTCTCGTCGATGCTCTTCGCGCCCCGCCCCGCCCCGCCCCGCCCCGCCCCGCCCCGCCCCGCCCCGCCCCGCCCCGCCCCGTCCCACCCCTCCCCGCCCCGCCCCTCCAAATTGCAGTGTTTCTGTGCGATTCGCCGCCACGTCTCCGCGGCTCGCCGTCACGGAGTGTCAGTCGCAATATCAATTTGACTGTCGTCTTCCTGGCCGCCCGTTCGTCGTGCTGCCTTCTTTTTTTCCACCGCGCCTCCCGTTTCGGCGGTCTCTGCCCTCCCTGCGCGCGTTGCTGTTTTGTTCGGAAATCGAAAATATGAGGCGAAGCCGCAGCTTTTTTGCGCGTGTTTCGTTCATTCATTCCTGGGGAAATAATAACTCGTTTCCTCATTTTTCAAAACAAAAAAAAATCTACCTTTCAGCGTTTTCTTGGTTTTCACCCCGCTACGTTGCATCATTGCTGCGCCGTCTCTATCTAGTCACATTTCTCGAAGACTCCCGCGCCGGCGGTGCAACAACAACAACCAACACCGCGTCGATATCCGTACTGTGAATAGTGACCCGGTATTGGCGCCACTTTCCGCCACACAAAGCGACACTGCCAATAACGGGCCGCCTTATGCAAGTCCATTACCACCCCACTGCAGTCGTCGTGAGAATAACGAATAAATGAATATCGGCGAGTGGCGCCTCGCTTCGCCTTGCGTCATGCGCGCCGCCCGGTTGTTCTGTTCGCCGACGGCCGCTGGTGGTATGAGTTCCGAAGCTCCTCGTGAGAAAAAAAAGACATTACCTCGTGCGGTCAACCGAGCAGTGGCACGGCGGGGCAGGGCAGGGCACGGCAGGGCACGGCAGGGCAGGGCCTGCAGTGAAAGTACTGTCGAGATGCACGACCGGCTGCACATGGAAATGGGATGCTGTCACACGCCGCACTTCGGGTCGCCTGCACTCATTGAATCGGAGTTCGCGCCAAAAAGACAACGTCCACATTCGGCGCTTGCGCCTCGCATCACGGTAAAAACGTTACCTGGTTTTCGCAGGAAGCCTATGGGAGGGGCATAGGCGCTTTCCAGGGAGTTCCTGGGAAAACCAGGAACCGTTTTCACCGTGATAGCAAACCGAACCTACACAGTAAAAAAGGTACCTGGCTTTCCCAGGAAGCCTATGGTAGAGACATAGGCGATTTCCAGGGAGTTCCAGGGAAAACCAGGTTCTGTTTTACCGTGTACTGGTCAAAAATCGGCTTGACAGTGTAACCACTCTCCTTGCGCAATGTGGAGCCGTCATCGCCGCTTCCTTTTGAATACTCCCGCCACTCTCCCGAGCGGTCACATGCGGTCATACCGATACGGCATCTCGCCGTCTCTCTCGCACTCGTGGGGCGCCGCGTTGCCGCGTGGGGGTGCGAGAGAGACGGAGATAATCGCCCTGCTTCTTCCGGGCCGGGGATGCTGGCAAAGATTCCATCTCTCAATTTCCATCGCCCTGGCGGGGCTGGCGGGGCTGGCGGGGCTGGCGGGGCCGGCGGGGCTGGCGGGGCTGGCGGGGCTGGCGGGGCTGGCGGGCGCTCCCACGACCAGTGTGGACGTCCCGAGTCGTACCCTACTGGCCCAGCTGGGCCCAGCCCGCCACTCCGCCAGGGGGCGCGCGGCGGCGGCGCTACAGTGGCGTTGCGTGGGAGGGGAAGCGGCAGCATTGTCTGTGTCGCGCCACTAACGAACTGTTTAGTTTGGCCCAACGCGTCGTCAGGTTGGCAGTGCCGAAACAAAAGGTACCAACATGACAACCGGCGCGCTTGCCGCCCGCGGCGCCGCCCCCGCGAGTCCTTTCCCCGGCCGGCCCACTCCTTTTCGATTCTGGACCGCGATAAACAAAGAGGAGGCGAAGAAGAAGAAGGAGGAGGAGCGCGCCAACGGCTATGATTGCGCCGGCCGACGACGAACAAAAGCCAAAAAGTAAAAGGAAGCGCAAACAAAAGTGGCATGGCCGGCTGGATAATTAATTCATCGTTCAGCAGGGTGGCCACAGTGCCGGCAGCGGCAGTGCCGCCGACGAAATAATGACAACAACGGCCTCGGCATCTCTTCCTTCCGATCGGCCGGCCAACCTCTCGCCGCTAAAACGTTGTCACCGCCTTGCGACTCGCCAACGTAGATGAGGCAAAACGTTTCCCACGTTGCGTTTGCCGGCGAAGCCCAACGGGCAAATTTTTTTGCTGGAGACTTTTTTCTGTTGGCGACGCCCGGTGTTGCGTTTTGAAGTGAGGGAAATTTTGGGTGTGCTGGGCGGCGACGAAGCAGGCGGGCACCGGACCCGGTAGTACTCCAAAGGCTGTTCTGGGGCGGAGGCCTGCAATCCCTGCCGGGGGATGTATACCACCTCCTCCCTGACTGGTCATACTGCGGAGTGGGAGCTTCGAGCCGCTTGAGGTTCGTCTCCGCCGGTATAACGTATCACCCTAGTGAGGACAGCCACGTCTCGTTTTGCAGTGCAGGCGAGCTTGTGTCGGGCCCGAAACGGCACACGATCATGTGTGGTCTAGCCCGCAATGATAATGGTAATGAGCGCCTGCAGCGTAGGCCGCGCCGCCGCACGCGTGTGTGGAGCGGGCCGGCCTACCCTGAGGTTCGCAGGCGCT